AGAAGACGAGCCCGCTGGTCCTCCCTGGGCTGCGAGTCCCGGCCCAGGTCTGCCAGCGTGAGCTGGGTTCAAGCCTGTGCTGGGAACAGCCCCACTTTGCTCCTGGCTACCCTGAGGGTGGCCCAGAGGCTGGGCCTCAGTGGGCAGCAGCCTTGGGGTGGACAGGCACACTGAACCAGGCCAGTGTGAGTCCTACCTGGAGAAGTCCAATGACACTGGGGTTGCAGGCAGCTGGCCAGGGCAGGCATTGCCACAGGAGGCAGGCTGACCCATGTGCCCATCAGGGAGCACCCCCGCTCCCAGCAGCTGGACCCTGGCAGCTCAGGACAGCCCATGGCCCCTACACCTGGCTCTCCCCCAACCCCCAGCCCTGCTGTAGAAAGTGGAGAATCACAGCCCCTTCCCCAACTGTGGCTGGGACCCCCTGTTAAGGGAGTAGAGTGACCAGCGGCCAGTCTCCATGCTCCACCGTGTGCAGGAGCGCACCCTGAGCACACCCCTGCCGCGCCGGCCTGACCCCACCAAGCAGAGGCTCCCCCTCAGCTGAGGCTCAAGGTGATGGGGCCAGAGAGGTGGAGTCACCCCTTGACTCTAGGTGTGGAGGGTGCTGCCTGCTGACCCACCGTCCTGATGACTTCCCACAGCCATGAAGAGGCCCCAGAGGCTGGCCACTCCTGGTAGCTGTCCCCAGTCCTCCCACAGCTTCTGGCCTCCTTCCCCTTCTCCTGGGCCTCGGCCAGCCCTGCCTGGGCACGAGGTGTGCCAGCCTTTGGGGGGGGGGGCGACATTCCCTTTCCATCCCTCACAGGCCCAGCAGTCAGCGGGCAGGGCAGCTGGACTGAATGACCCCAGCCCAGGCCAAGACTGGAGAAGGCTCACGAGGGCTGCAGATGCCCTGGCTAGGACCAGGGAAGGACAGCATCAAAGGACCACGGGGCCCTGGAAGGTGGGGCTGGTGCTGGAGGTCCCGCCCCCACAGAGAACCAGGGCTACAGTCACCAGCAAGACCTGAGCGACAGGAGGCCCGTGGAACTCAGGCTGGCCAGGAAGCGCCCAGAGTCCTGGGCAAGAAGTTGGCTGGACTGCAAGGCGCGAGGAGCTGAAGGACCCACATGGGCACCAGCCGTTCCGGCCACGCCAGGGCCTTGGTGGCTCCAGAGCTGTCTGCACAGCTGCACCGCACCTCTCAGTGGAGGTCAGGGCGCAGGGGTGCAGCATCAGGTCTGGGTCCCACGGCCAGTCGGAGGTGGACCCCGACCTTGTCTTGACCAGGTTGCCCCGTTAGGATGAGAGCCCTCTCCCTACAGACCCAGTGGGGCCCCATGAGGACTGGGGGTGTGGTTGCAGGCCCCCGGGAGCCCACTCTCACCAAATGCCCCATCCAGCCGGCTCTGCTAGCATCATCAGGGGCCCTGAAGGGCGGGGCAGAGGGCTAGCTCAACTGGCAGAGGACGCAGGTGGCTGACAGGGCCCTTGCCAGCCCCTGGCTGTGGCCTAGGCAGGACCAACACCCTCACCCAGGACTGCACTCCTCAGGACAGACCCCTCGTGGACCGAGGTCCTCAGCCCAAGCACAGGCAGCAGCGCGCCTGGCCCTGTGTGGCTGAGCCCAGGATGGTCCACCTGGTCAAGGCAAGGTCGGGGTCCACCTCTGAGTGGCCAGGGGACCCAGACCCGGGACCCTCCTGCAGTGAGCAGCCTTGGCCCTGCACCCCACTCGCTGCACTCCATAGACCCTCCCGGAGCAGCTGCCAGCCCCCAGGAGCCCAGCCTCCTGGCCCTACCTGTCTCCCAAGCCAGCCCACTTCATGGGGTCCAGCCTCACAGCCTGGGCCTGCACTGGTGTCCATTTTGTAGGCCAGGTCTTTGTCCTGCCCAGGGACTGGGCGGACCAGTTCCCATGGCTGACACCCAGGCGCTCGGGACACCCTGGCTGGTCCCTCCCTGTTCGACATTGGACCCCTGTGTCCCTCAGCCACGTCCATGCTGTGAGGGGCCCCCGCCCCGTGTTCCCTCCTCTGTATCCCAGGTCTCCTGGGTCTCCATCTTAGGCCTGGGGATAGGCTTTGACCCCTGGCTGGGCACTTCCACAGGTCCAGGGGTGGAACTGACACATGCCCCCTCATTTCCGCCTCACACAGCACCCTGTGCCCAGCAGTCACCTCAGGCCCCTCCCTTGGGGACAGCTGCAGACTGGCCTTCAACACCCCTTTGAAGCCGGGAGGGATGGGAGGGGGACGGTCACACCCGAGGGTGTCAGACCCAGCCGTCCTTTCAAGTTTGCCGGCCTTCACAGGCAACCAGCGTCTCGCTGGCCAGGACACTGCTGGAGGGGAACCAGGCCTGGCTCCACAACCTGCACGCACGCTGGCCACCCCCGTGCCTGCCAGGACAGCTGCCTCCTGAGGTCCCTCAGAAGCCCCTGGACCCCGCCTGGCCTGGTGCGGGGGTCACCCCGAGGACACAGCTGCAGCCCCTCTTCTGACCCCAGCTTGGACCCTCAGGGAAGGGAGCACTGTGGCATAGACATGCACCCTGCCCTGTCTCATAGCCCCAGGCACTGACCTTCATGGTGGCCAAGGGCACTGGGGCCTCATCCAGTGGAGGGGTTCAGGGGACCTCTGCTCTGGGCTCCCTGTCCCCTCCCGGGGTCCCTCGTCCCTCAGCCCTGGGCCTTGAAGTGTCCTGACCACAGCCCCCACCCCACTCCCCAGGACACCCAGCCTGCAGTGCGTTCATTCCCCCCAGGCCTGGGAGCCCCCAGAGGGACGGGATGTCTGGTGAGACAGGTACTCAGGGCAGGTATGGCTGCACATGGGCAGCCAAGCCCCAGAGTCCCAGCCAGGGGAGCTGGGCTCCAGTACTGTCCCCCTCAGAAAGGTCATGGTCCCTACCTCCTGCCATGCCCAAGGCACACAGGCTCAGCCTGGGGCCACCATGTCCCAACTGCGTCCTGTACTCGCAGGCAGCCATGAGTGTCCTAAGGGACCTGGGGTGCTAGGGCCAGGGACACAGGTGGGGTGCTGGTGTGCACCTCTGCCAGGGGGCTGGGGCTGGGGCAGCAGCCAAGGTGTCCTTGTGGCGTGGCAGGAGGGTCCAGCCAGGGTCTCTAGGCTCACGGCAGAGGCAGCAGCCAAGGAGGGCTTACCCCTTCAGGCAGCCAGAAGAGGCCGGTCACAGAAGGGTCTTAGCCCCAGGGCAGCTACTCAGGGGGCTGGAAAGACCAAGGGCCCCTTGAGGGCAAGGAGGGGCCTCCCCCTTGGGATCTCCCTGCCCCGCAGAGCACCTGGCACAAACTGACCAGGAGCTGAGGCCAGCCCACCACCTGCCATCTCTCCCCAGGACCCCAAAGGGCCCAGCCAGGGCTGGTGAGAACACAGGCCCTGGGCCAGTCTGCCTGCTCACCAGGGCTACCTCCTTCCAGTGAGGGCCTGGGGCTGGGCTCTCAGGTGCCTCCCCTCTGTCCACTCCAGGAAGCTCACTGCTTCCCACATGCAGCTCTGCACGGCCCCCCACCCCCGGGGTCTTCCCTGACACCATCCCCCTCTCCAGACTGAAACCCGACCAGGCAGCGGGCGATGCTTGTCTTATCTGGACAACATCTGCTGGTCACCAGCTGCGAGCCGCCTGGAACCGACCTGTGCCCTCATCACCATGGCCAGGCCTCTCCAGCATCTGCCAGCCAGGCACACAGGGCTCCTATCCCCACGGAGTCAGGACACCCCTGTGGCTTCTCCCAGGGCTGGCCTGTGTACTCAGGACAGCAGTGAGTATGGCCTGGGGAGGGCCAGGGGAACAGGGACTGTCCTGGGGTGCATGGCGTCCATGTGAGGGCACACCAGCACCCACCAGCCCCCCAGAGACCTCACACATTCCAGTCAGCCACACACCCCTCGAGGACACGGTAATGGCTACAGGGGAAGCCTTACCCCTCTGGCCAGGCAGCCCCTTGCACACCAGAACACAGCCGTCCTGCTGGCCACATGGCCAGACTGCCCCTAGGACGGGGGCAGTGTCTCTTCACAAGGGGCTCTGGACCAGGGCAGGCAGGCGCCTACCTCCAGGGTGGTCCAGTGGACTGGAGCCCGCTTCCCAGCAGAAAAACGGACTGTCACCCCACTGCCACAGAAGTGGGGGGGGGGCACTCAGTGACTGTGACCTGGGCCTGGCCATGGAGGCCCCAGGGAAGGGAAGCAGAGAGGGCACCTCTGAGTCAGAGGCAGGGTCTGGCCCAGGGTGGAGCGGGCACCAGCCAGCCCACTGTGCAGGGATGCGGCTGGGCCCACACAGCACCAGCCTGAGCCCCAGGTCCCACACTGCTGCTGGGCCACCCTGGTGAGCCCCAGGAAGGCCTGCCCACGCCTACCCCGGAGGAGACGCGCGGCCAGCCCAGGCAGAAACAGCACTGAGGAACAGATGCACACGGCTTTCACAAAATAAATTAAATATACGAGGCTTCAGCTCAGACTCTACATGAACTCACAGAGGCCCGGGCTGCCCGGGCAGGGCTTGTGGGTGTGGGCACCAGCGTGGCGGCAGGCCAGGCCAGGGTCCTGCAGCCCAGACCTCCTTCATCTAAACATAAATATCAAGGCCCCTCCCTCTGGCAGTGGGGGAGGACGGCACGTCCCCCCAGCCCCAGCCTCCCCCAGCCCCTCCACCCACCAGGCCAGGGTGCTGGTGGATGCCTGGGCACACAGTGGTAGAGGCAGACCAGCACCAAGCTGGGCAAGGACACAGGTGGAGGCGTGGGAGAGTGACCCTGGCGACCGTGAAGCCCTCCTCACAGGGCAGGGAGAGTCCTTCATCTACTAGCCATGGCCACATGTCACCACGGTCACAACACCCGGTCTGTGTGTGTGTCCCCTGGTGTGTATGTGTTCCATGGTATGTGTCCCCTGGTAAGCCCGTGTCCCCTGGTGTGTGTCCCCTGGTGTGTGTGTGTCTCCTGATGAGGATGTGTCCCCTGGTATGTGTGTGTCCCATGGTGTGTATGTCCCTGGTCTGCACATGTGTCCTGTGTGTGTGTCCCCTGATGTGTGTATCCCTGATCTGCATGTGTCTCCTGGTGTATGTGTCTCCTGGTAAACACGTGTCCCCTGGTGTGTGTGTGCCCCTTGGTCCACACGTGTCCATGGCCTGTGTGTGTCCATTTGCCAGCATGTCCATGTGCGTGGCCAACGTGTGCCTTGCACAGGGCACTTAGGATGCTGCCTCTCTCCCTCAGTCCTGACCTGCCTCCCTCCGGCCTCCCTGCCCACCCGGGGACCCAGCCTTGAGGTGGCTGCTGCCTAGCACTGGTAGTGAACGTGCTGGTGGACCTTGCCCTCCACGTGGGAGTGTGTGTGTGAGTGTGTGTGCGTGTGTGTGTGCACGTCCGTGTACAGCCTGGAGTACAGCTTGGGGCCAGCTGCCGGGCCTGGGCCCAGCAGGTGCTGGGGGGCAGCCGGGGGCCCATGTTCTGCACACAGCCCAACGGCCAGGGCAGGCAGGTCCTTGTCACCACCACTGCGGTCCCGAGCCGCCCCGGGGGCACGGTGCCCCGGCGCCAGAGGCGCAGGCACGGGGGCACAGGGTTTCTTCTTGGCCTGGCAGAGCCACAGCAGCACAGTGCCCAGGATGAAGACAGCGCCCGCTGGGATGCCGATGACCACAGGCCACGGCAGGCTGGTGGCCGAGGACGAGGGGGCCACAGGTGGCCCCGGTGGCTTGGGGTCTGCAAGAGAGACCGAGGGAAGAGCTGGAGAGGGGAAGGCGGCTGCGTGGACAGCTCCCCAGGACTTCCCAGGTGGCAGGGCAGCCTGTGCCGGGGACCAGGGAGGGAGCACCCGCCCCAGGGGGCCGCGCACCTGGGAGCACGGTGAGGAAGGCGCTGCGGAAGCTGTAGCCCATGGTGTTGGCACCCAGGCAGATGTACATGCCCGCGTCCTCCTGGCGGGCCCGTGAGATGAGCAGCTTGTTGAGGTAGGAGCCGTCCGGCCGGGACCACACGTCGCCCGTGGGCAGCACCAGGAACTTCTGGCCGCCCACGTCGATGGTGGAGTTGTGGCGGCCCTCAGCCCCGTACTCCACACGCTTCAGCCACTGGATCACGGGCCGCACGTCGCTGCGCACCTTGCACTGGAAGGAGGTGGTGCCCCCGAAGTCCACCGTCGTGTTCACCGGGTGTGTGCCCGTGAGCACGGGCTTGGAGCGAGTACGCTCTGTGGCAAGGACGGGCGGTTGGCGTGGCTCCTCGGCTCGCTGGGCCCCACCCACCACCCTGCCCGGCCACACTCACGGATCACATCCACCTTGTAGGTGGCATTGATGGCGCCTGCCCTGTTGGACACGCGGCACGTGTACTTGCCACTGTCCTCAGGACGCAGGTTCTTCAAGCTCAGGGTCCACTTCTTCTTCCTGTGCTCACTGGCCTCCGGCCGCATCAAAGCCTGGTCATCTTTCATCCACATGATGTCAGGCCGAGGATGCCCACTGGCCACACACTTGAGCCGCACAGAGCTGCCCACAGGCCGGGCAATCACCCGGCGCCGCATCTTGGAGGGCTGCGTGAAACGGGGTCGCGCTGCGGGGCAGGGCGCCTGAGGTCAGGGGTGGTACCAGGAAGGGCATCACCCTGCCCCAGGCAGATGGCACCACCCTGCCCATACTCACCCCACTGCTGGCTGGTGGGGTCCTCCTGGCCCCCTGAGGAGCTGCTGGGCCCCAGGCTCTCCTTCCCTGGGCCGACATCATCTGCAGAGAGAGGGGCCCACAGGGGCAGGTGACGGGGCGCCAGAGCCCCACCAGGCCTGACACGCCCCAGCTGGGATGCCCTGGAACCCAGGCGGAGGCTTGGGCACACCCACATCAGAATCCAGGGACAGCTGGGCAAGGGCCCCCGCCAGCCCACTGCCTGCATGCAGGTGACCCCGACAGGCATGGGTGTGTCTGCAGGGCCTCCCCGCCCCAGGCTCCAGGGGTCTGCAGGACCAGGGAGAGGAGGGGTGGGCCCATCCAGCAGCTGCGGTAACCCTAGCCCACATCAAGGGGCCGAGGGCTTGGTGAGGAGACGTGGCTGACATTCCGCCTGGTCACCGTCCCCTCTCTGAGGACAGTGGGGGTGCTGCGTGGCATTCCCACTCCACCACCAGAGGCGGCCTCGGGAGTGCCGGGGACAGGGAGTGCTGAGGAATGTCCCTCCACCCGCCTGTAGCAGCAGCCGCCTCCACTGAGCCTGGGACCCGAGGCCAGGCTGCCACCCTGGATGGTCACTGACACAGGCCCGCCTGGGCCCCACACCGGGGGGCCAAAGGGGAGGGGCGTGCCTCTGGGACACCTGTCCCTTCCCCAGTGCCCGGGCCCCAGGGGCAGAAGAGAACAGAAAGGCCCTTTGCTTCCCAGCGGCCCCTCTGAACTCCGAAACCCGATCCTCAAAGCCCTGACCACGCCAAGGCGCACCCTGCCAAGCCCAGGGCCCGTTGGTGGCCCTTCACTGGGGAGGACCACCGCCTGGGGCCTCCCATCCTACCCCTGATGCCAGAGGAGGGGCTGAGGCCGGGCCTGGGGATCAGAAGAAGGTCCAGGCTGCCTGAGGCAGGCTCAGCTGGTGGCAGCTCAGGTCCTCCTGGGTCCTGTCATGTCCCAGTGGGCGGAGCGCAGGCTGAGTGAGCAGGCCAGGGCAACACAGGGATATGCTGCTCAGGGCCATGCTGGCTCACCTGCCCAGGTGTGGCCCCCAGGCATGACTCCCCAGCTATACCATGCCCTCCTGCACACCCCCGGCCCGACCAGCTCTGGCCAGCCACGACCTCTGGCCCATGCTAACTGACCCATCACGATGAGGGTGTAGTTGACGCTGAGGCTGCCGAAGCCATTGGTGGCCTTGCACACGTACACGCCCGCGTCCTCCGCCTCCACCTCCTTCACCTTCAGTCCCTGGGGCAGTACCCGGAAGCGGCTCCAGCCACTGTGGATCGTGCGGCCATCCTTGGTCCACATTGTCAGAGGTGGTGGGTCCCCCTCTACTGGGCACTGCAGTCGCACAGTGCGGCCCAGCCGGGCCACCTGCCGTGGGACTACCTTGTCTGCCATTCTTGGAGGGCCTGTGGGGACCAGAGGGCTTGGTCAGGGAGGGGCATGTGAGGGGACAAGGGCTCTCCCTGCCTGGCCCCCACCTGATTCCCCTCAGGAGTTCCAGTGAGGCAAGGAGGCCCCAAGCACAGGCCTCCTGGACCACAGTAGCCGACGTCCACCAGAGCCCATGGGTTGTCCACCCAGCTCCTGGCTGGGGCAGCTTCCAGCACCCAGGAGGAAGGGTCCCTGAAGGGGTGGGCACAGCGTTCTCAACAATGCCTTTCCAAGTACACACCCAGAGAACAGGGCCAGCTCCCGGTCACAGGGCCAGGAGCCAAGGTCCCCAGGCCAGGAGGATGGGGTCCTAGGGATGGGACAGCAGGCGGAGCTCCAGGCTGGGCACGTCCACCCTGGGGCCAGCCAGGCCTGGGCCAGGGCAGCAACCTCACAGCCTCCACACCTGGAGGGCACAGGGGTCAGTTGGAGATGCCACTCACTAGAGAGCCCAGGGTGCTCAAAGCGGTCACTGCTTTGTGTGCCAACAGCAGCAAGGGTGCCACAGGCAGGCTACATGCCCAGAGTTCCTTCTGCTGCCCCCTCTGAGTCCATGGCAGCATCAGGAGGCCCAGTGAGCCGCCCCTGATGTGGCATTGCAGGAGGGGCCCGAGGCAGAGGACCAGGCTCCACAGGCCGCCGCCCGTGAGAGAAGCCACCTCCTGGGCCTGGTGCCCCTTGCTGGCAGAAAGACTCCCACACGCCCACCCCAGCTCAGCCTCCTCCCCACCCACCCAGTCCCAGCCAGGTGCCTCTGGGTTGAACTGCGGGAACAGGTGACCACTGGCTGGGGATGAAGGTCCAGAACGCAGGACCTGTGGGCATCAGAAACATGGGCTACACAAGCACCTCCGGGAAGGGAGCCCAGAACCAGGACCACAGAGGCTGGGGACCTTTGTGTATGTCACTCTTCCGGTCCTCTCCCCCTCTGCACCCCTGAACAGAAGACACAGCCGCTCAGGATGAGGGTGTCCACCCATGCTGTGGCTACCCCCTGGCCAGGCGCATCTCTGGCACCCAGGTCAGGCTGTGCCAGAGGCACCAGGAGGATGTGGCTGTGGCAGCAAGGACCAAGGGCCAGTGCGTTTCATGACCAGCTGACTGCTGCAGCCTGGGGCGTGGCCCAGGGCCCCACGGGCATCCCCAGATGGAGCTCTCCTCCTCTGCACAGTGTGGGAGCCCAGGGGAGGGGTTCCAGGGCCACAGTGCAGCCCTGAGGAGGCGGGGCGGGGTCCCTGGAGGAAGCTCTCCTGGCCCCTGCTCTCCTGCCCACAAAATGGCCCAGCCCAGCCCCTTCCTGCCTTCCTGGGACTCTTCTGGCCCACCCCTCCCCCTTGACATGGGCCCCTCCCTGCGTGGGCCCACAGCACCCCTCCTCACCAGCCTCCCTGCTTCCCCTGCAAGGGGAGAGATGGCAGAGGTGGGAAGGGGCTGCCAGCTGCCTGCCCACTAACCTCACCCCCACAGACCACCCCTGGCAGCAGCCCATGCAGTTGTCTCAGGGACCCAGAGCCCACAGCTCCCAGTGGGAGGGGCTACCAGGCCCACAGACACAGGGGCCTTCTGAGGTCCCGCCCCGGCCCTCGCAGGATCCCAGCCCCATTCCCAGGCAGACCCTGCCCACCACCTGTCACTATCTGGAATTCCACCATTCACAGGGCTCCCAGGCTACAGGACAATGAAGGAGGGGCCAAGACCCTGCCCTGGCCACCCCAGCTGGCCCAGTGCCCAGGGTCTCCTGGACAGACACCACACACCAGGCAGCACACACACATGTGCACGTGCATATGACTGCTAGAAAGAGCCTGGGCACCCCTGGGAGCTGCCCAAGGCCAGGCTGCTGCACAGCCAGTATCAGGAGGGTCTGCCCAGCCCCAGGCCCTCCTCACCCGTCAGAAGGAAGAAAAGCCTGGGGAAGGACGCATGTGTGGGAAGGAGCCTAGAGGACGAACGGACAGACCCCTGCCTACTGTCACTGCTGAGAAGAAGGGCAGAGCCAAGTGACCACCAGATGGCCGGAAGCATGGCCCCTAGGGCCAGCCTGCACACAATCCTGGGGGATAGGCTGGCGACAGCCTGGCCAGAGGAGCCAGCCTTATCCTAAAGCAAACAGCAACCCCCCTGGGCCTGACCCTACCCACCTCACCCTGCACGCGAGGCCCGCCCGGCAGGAAGCCTGGCCCCCGATTCCTGGGAATTGTGCCTGTAGCATTGGCTGCCTCGGCTCTGTATTTAGCTCAGGAGACACAAGCCTCATTGTTCCACCTGGACTGGCTGGTGGACCCACGCACCCACAAGGAAACTGAGGCAAGACCTGAGGTCCACAGCCAGCAACGGAACTGACCACCCCACGTTCTGCCTCAGCTCAGCTTGGTTGGGAGACAGCTCTGGGGCAGGGGCTGGGGTCCAAAAGCCTCGCCGAGCCCAGCCCCGGCCCTGCTTGAACGCAGGAGCACCTAGCCTGCCCAGCCTCCTGGCGAAGGCCCAGGAAGGCCCACACAGGCAGGATGCAGAAGCTTGTGCATGGGGTAGAAACAGGACCCGGTGCTTTTCTGATGAGGACAGTGGGGACTGGACATTGGAGTGTCAGGCCCAGCTCCAGCACGGGAGGCAGGAGAGTCTGCCCCAGGATAAAACCCACCTGTGAGGCCCACACCTAGGCACAGCAAGGGTGAGCAAGGCAGGCACGCACAGCTAGACGCACACCACTGTGTCTGCGGGGACAAAGGCCAGACCCGGGGGAGGGCTGGCGCCTTACCCCACTTGCTGGAGCTGCCCAGCAACACTCAGAACCTGGAGGCTAGGCTCAGGTGGGGCCTGGCCTCCAGAGCCAGGTCAGCCTCGCCCCCACCTCTGCAGAGCTGAGCGCAGCCCAGCCAGGTCAGCTGGGATGCCCGATCGACAAGTCGACAAGGGAGCTTCTAGGCAGAAGGCATGCTGGGTCCGTGTGGGAGCCTCCCTTGGAGGGCAGACGTGGCCATAGCATCAGAGTCCAGACACCTGACCAGGCCTGGGGGGGGGTAACCAGGGGAACAGGCCCCCTCCAGCCCCAGGAGAGGAGTGGGTTCCGGACCATAGAGCAGTCCCCCACCCCAGGACCTCACCTGAGGACCTTGAGCTTCCCTCCCAGAGAGGCTGCTCTAGGTGTGGGCACAGGGGCCTCAGACACCATGGAGGTGTGAGCCTATGAGACCCGGCTCAAGCCCAGCTTGGTACCCAAGAAGCCCTGCACAACCCCAGGATTTCCCAGGCTAGAAAGAATTCTCTGGTCAGGCAGTGGGCCTAGCTGCGGGGTGGGGTCAACCAGCCAGAAACCTGTGGGCCCCTCCTAGAGAAGAAAATGGCCTGGTAGGGGACTCAGGAAGCTGAGGAGAGGCGGGCCCACCCTGAACCCAGCCTCTAGAAGGGGCCACAGCACAAGCCAGCCCAGTAGGGCTTCCAAGGCATCTCCCAATGGGATCAGACTGCCAGGTGTGAGCCTCTGCAGCTGGCACCTCGTCACCCATACCTGGGGCTCCAGCTCAGGAGTGAGGTGAGAAGTCCCACATACAAGGTCCCCGGGGCCAGCACCCACACTAGGAAGCCACTGCCGGGAGAAACAAGAGCAGGGCCGTCCCCCAGGAGAGAAGGCAAAGGTGACTATCACAGGCCCAGCTGCCCATCAGGTGTCTGGGGCCAGGTTCTACCCATCCCTGAACGGCCCAGACACACGTGGGTCACACACACACACACACACACACACACACGCGTGCCAGACACATGTGCACAGCCCAGAGCCAGTCACCAGGAGCCCAGGACACCCTGGGGGCTGGACCCACGGGATCTGCTGCTGAACTGGTAGGACCCGCAGGACAGGTGGTTGCCCCAGAAACCAGGTCATTCTGGGCATGGCAAAGGGAGGCTGTGCCCAGCAAGCTGGCAAAGTGGTTGGCCCTTTCTGCTGCCCAGCAGTGGCCACCAGGCAAGACAGTAGGCATGTGGGGGCACCCTGAAGATAGTGCCTAGCCTCCAGGTCTGTGTCCTCCTGGGAGCCTTCGGCTGGCACACCTGTGGGCTCTGGGCTCCCAGAGACTTTTCCTTGACACACTGATCCACACACAGAGCAGGCACTCACGTCACCAGATGGGCCACTCCCTGGAGGGGATGCACACACCCTGCCCACAGCCTAGTGCCACAGTACCTACCCAGGGAATGTCCCAAAGAGCCAGGCAGTCCCAGGCCCAGGCCCAGGCCTCAGCAGGCCCACTAGACAAAGAGCCACCCACCCCTTTCCCCCCATGCCACAAACATCAACCAGTCAGGCCACATCCTAAAATTCAGGCCTCCTATCACAGCCACCCAGAGGGGCCTCACCTCCTGCACAGCCTTGACCCTTAGCCCCAGCAGCCTCAAACCTCAGACATGTCAACAAGGCTGTTTCCTGAGCACAGACTTCTCGGACAGAGGTCAGATGTTGAGCTGATGTGCAGTCCCCTACGGGGGCTCTTAGCTCCCAGGTGGGACCAGGGGACCCATGGAGCAGTCTGGGCATATTAGTTACCTCCAGCCCAGGTCCTGTTCACGTGACCAACTCTTCAAGGACAGGCTGAGGATGTGAGGGTGCCAGGCAAGCAAGCCACCCAGGCAGGGATTCCCTGGGTCCCTGAAGGGCATAGGGTCCTGAGCACACAGTGCTGCCTGCCGCCAGTGAGTGGAAAAGGGCTGGAGCCCCACAGTCACCTGGGAGCCAGGTGGGTAGGCTGCAGGGAGCAGACGGACTCTGGACAAGGAGCCCAAGTTCCCTGAGGGGCCCCTTAGGTTGTCACCATGCCCTGAGCCTGGGCCTCCCCTGCTTGCTAGCCCTGCACACAGACAGGGCAGAACAGGGCTCCCTTCCCACCCACTGCCTAGGGCCCTGTCCATGTCTCCATAGCCCCTGGCCAGCTCACATAAACCTCTCCAGGAATAAACTCTCCAGGAGGGAAGAAGAGGGGTCCTGCTCCCAAATGGGAAGCCTTCTACACAGCTCCCAGGCTGGCAGACACCAGTCTGGCTGAGGCTGCCTCCTGTTCTTGAGGGACACACCTCTCCTAGGCCTGCCTGGCCCCACCCCATGAACCCCTTTCCACTCCCATACCCTGCTCTGCCCCCACTCAGCCATCCTGGGCTGTGGATGCCTGGGGCGGCAGCACCCACCCCAAAGCAGCCCCTACTCTTCTCCACCAAGGGTAGCCAGGCTGGGCACTGTGAGGCCTGGCCACGAGTATGCAGTGACCAGTGCTAGGAAGAGTGGGTGGCAGGCAGGGGAGGGCATCCTCCAGGTCTGGGTTTAGTGGCCTGGGCACACCTTTTCCTCCGCCCACTGGAGGGGGGAGGCGTCACCAAACAAAGCCCAGAATGGGGCAGAGCCTACCAGCATGGGCTAGGCACCAGGCCCTGCTGAATGGCAGGCAGGTGGTCAGCAGCGTGGGCAAGCTCTTGGGGCCACGGCCCACTGCCCCAGCACCGTCAGCAAAGCCTGAGCTGGGGGCAGGCAGCCCGGGGCTGGAGGCCTCAGCTGGGGAAAAACCAACATTTCCCCAGTCAGGGCCACGCGTAGGGCAGGCAGGCTGAAAGGCGGCTCCGAGATCCCGGAGGCCCACTGACTCCCGCACAAAGGACAAAGAAGCCAGCCAAAGGCGACTTTGTTCCCGACCCCCCTCCCCTGAAGGGGACAGTGATTCATTTTCCTTCACAGGAGTGGGGCCCAGATGTGAATGGAGAGGTTGGCCCGCAACCCCACCCCACAGTGCCTGGGCCCTGCTCCCATACGCCCAGTTCAGACCCAGCTACACACTGGTCAGCCGCTGCCTGGACAGGAGGAGGCTTCCTGCAGCCAGGCCAGAGGCAGAGGTCAGCATTGCACACCACACTGGCCATCACCCATCTGCCTCAATGTCCACTGTCCATAACACACCAGCCCTGCAGCATGGGTGGCCACAGCACCATGGCCACTTGAGTTCCTAACTCTGACATGGGTTAGGACCAGCTTGCCCCGAGCATGGCAGCTAGATCCACAGGGCAGGGAGTGACCCCAGGGACCAGCTACTCAGTGTCTGTCCCCCAGGGTGTCCTTGCAAAGGCAAAGCAGCACTTCTCAGAAGGCCCAACTGGACTTCTTTCATAGCTGTGTGTGGAAGGTGTTTCACTCCAAACCTTGGAGTCCCCACTGCGAGGAATAAAATGGAATGGAAAAAGCCAAATCCTATCTTTTTTCAAATATGAAAAAGCAGTCTAAGACAAACCCACCAAGATTGTGAAACTCGGGGCAAAGGGGAACTTTTAAAGCAGAATCTGGATCTGGAGATGTACCCAGTCCAGAAACTGTGCCACCCCAGGGAAACAGCTTTCAAAACGGCCTCACACCACGTCCAGCTCCACGGTTCCACTGAAGGTCCATGCTGGACCTGCTCCTGAGGAGTGGAACACACAGAGGACTTCACCCCTGCAGTCCAGGCTGGGCCTGAAGGGGAAGTGAGCACCACTCAGGAAACACGGTCCTCCCCACCTCCACCCCAAACCACAGAGGCCCTTGCCTTGGAAAGCAGCCCCTCCTGGCTCCCTATGCTGCCAGGGCCGGAGATGAGGGGCAGCCCCAAGGCCGTGGCCAAGGGGGACAAGGGTAGCAAGGGTGGCCCCTCAGAGTCCCTCAGCAAAGGGGCAAGCCCTGTCTACCCACCACCATCCACCAGTCAGCCTCAAAGTCTGGCCAGTAACCATGGCAGGACAGAGGCCTCCAGAGCCTCTCTGGCTGAGTGGTCAGAGAACAGGCAGGTGCAAAGATAGGGGAGTCCAAGCAGATAAAAGAGGAATCCAAGCCTGGGCCACTGGCCCTGGTGGGGCTCACCCGGCATGGCCCGAGTACCCGTGGTGCCCTGGGCAGTGCCCAGCCCTGCCCCTCCTGGGCAGCCCCCACCCTCCAGCCAGCCAGTCCCCAGCAGGCGGAGGGCGGGGGGGGGTTGTACGGTGGCATAAGGCCCACCTGGGTCAACGCCCGCGCCCGAATGTGGCCATATAAGGCCAGGTTGGGCTCGGTGCGCTCACTGGGTGGCGGGGGAGGGGTGCGAGGCCTCAGAGGACTGGTGGACAGAGCAAGGACGATCCTGAGTGGTCAACACACCCAAAGGGCTGGCCTGGCTACAGTCCCACCTAACCATGGGGGAGGCCAACACTGCCCTCCTGATCCTGAATATGGCGGGCAGGAGTCTGCAGACATGCAACAACCATCAGCCACAGATGCCCCTTGCAGGGGCAGGTCCTGGGTGAGACTGCCCACTTGGACATCAGATGGATGAGGCTATGCCCAGGCCACTGTGGGCCTGAGCTACATGGGCAGTGTGTGACCCTGAAATCTGTGGTCCGCAGGTGTCTGCCTCAAGGTCCACCCTGCTGTTCTGCAGCCTCCCCCAACCTCCTCACTGCTCCCATCTTGTACTGCTTGCTGGGGGCCACCAGGCCCAAGGCAGGGCGCTGGGCTGACTGGGAGGCTAGGTCAGGAAGAGTCCCAGATGGCAAAAATGTCACCAATGTCTCCCATAAGATGGCCTGACAACTGTGGGGGGTCTCTACAGGTTTCTTAGACCCAATTGTGTGGGATGTGGCCACAAACAGCCCACTCCCCAAGAATCCACATGGTGACTAGCTGCCCTCTACTGCAGGTATGTGTGGAAATGTGGTGTGTGTGTGTGGGGGGGTGCGGTCGTAAGAGCCCACCTGGCCAGCAAGCCAAGTGAGACTTGGACCCTTCAGGTGAGCTAGGGATACCACCAGGGTGAGCCTAGGGAACCCCAGGGGTAAGCTGAGGTTACCAGGAGGGTGAGGGGGCCTGGTAAGGTGGGGCAGGCAGGGTGGAGCGGCGCGTGCCAGGCGGGCACTGTGGCAGGGTTCAGGGCTGGCGGGAAAGGGGCGGCGCTGCAGAGACCAGGGCGCGGGCTGGGCGCCAGGACTCACCTCGAGCTGCGGCCGCCGGCGGGAGGGCCCCAAGTAGCAGCGGCGGCAGCAGCAGCAGCGGCAGCGTGGGGCTCGGCAACATCTCGCAGGTCTCCACTAGGGTGGGGGCGCGGTCACCGGCGCAGGGCCCAGGGCCTCGAGACCCTGTACAGCCGTGGGTCGGGGTCTGCCCCCCTCCGAGCCCGAGCTCCAGGCGGAGGAAGTTCGGCAGCGAGAAGCTGTGCGTATCAAAGGCAGACAAAGGGTTTACACTAATTACCGGCCGCCCCCGCCGCCCCCTCTCCAAACACCGTCTGGATTCCTGGCGCTTGTAACTGGGCCCTGCCCGCGGGACACACAACACCGAGGGCCCCGCAGATAATCGCCTGCGCCATTAGCGGACAAATTTGCGCTGGGGGGGCCCACATGGGGTGCGGGGGGGCGGGGCTCAGGGCAGGGCCGCGGCCCGGCCCCCGCCCCGCACCCAGATCACCACCGCCTGTCCCTGCCCGCACCCCGCCCCTCCCAGCACGCCCACCCGGGGTCCCCGGCACGCGGCAGGGCTCACCTCGGCGTGGCTTGGCGGTAGGGCGAGCGCGCGGCGGGCAGCGGGTCAGGGCCGGGCCCGCGGACAGCGCGCCACGGTCATCGCCGCCCCGGGCGCCGCATCCCGCCCCCCGCGCCCCCGGGCCCGGCCTGGGGCGGGGAGGCGCTACCTGGGCGCGGGTGACTCGGGCCGGGGCCGGGCTGGGGCGCGGGGTGTGCCGTCCGGGTCGGCAGGCGGCGGGCTAGGACGTGGGGCGGCGGGGCGAGGGGCCCGGGGCGCCGCGCCGCGAGGCGTCCTTCCCTGCGGGGCTTTGTCAACTCTCCCGGAGCGAGCGCCGAGCCCGCCGCGCGCCCCGCCCCGCACAACTTCCAGCCAATCCACGCGCTCCGCCCCGCCCCGCGCCCCGCCCCACCCCGCAACTTTGCTCCAATCCGCTAGCGCGCTCGCTGGGCTACAGGCTTAACCCTCGCGGTGCGGGCGGGAGGCTCCCCAGGGAGCGCCCTGGGGAGCGCCCCGCTGAGCCTATCACGCCCCCAGCTCCCCCGCGCGGCCTTGAGCGCCACCAGAGCTGCCCAGGGCTGCGGCGCCCACCCCACACCGCACCGACCCGCGCCCGGGTCCGAGTTCCCTCTGTCCGGGAGCTGGCCCTTGCCGCTCCATCTCCAGTCCCGGCGATCCTCAGCCCGGGAGGAGGCGATCTGGACAGCCACACGGAGCTCCCGGGTCTGGAAGTTCGCGACCTGGGGAGTGTTGGGAGGCGAGGTGTCCTCAAACTACTCTTGGATGGGACGGGGATGACAAGTCTCGGGTGATGCAGGTCAAAGAGGTCCTCCCCCAGATGCCTGGCTTTACCTAGTTCCCTTACCAGGGCAGGTAGGGTCCCACAGCCCCCTGGAGGCTTCCCTGCCATTCACCAACTAAAGATAGTGATCACAAGGACAAGAACAATGATAAATGGGAGGAAGAGGTGAGAGACACTCTCTTTTGTCCTCTCCATCAGGCAGGTGTCTTGGTGTCCCCTGGTACCCATGAAGAAACAGCCTCAGAGAGGACAGGTAAGTTACCCACGACTTGACACGGCGCAGACTCAAGCCACTCCGCTGCACCTACTCAGCACAGGCACTCACTGCCTCCACAGCCTCCCCACCTCCCTCCAACAGGGACTCCCTTACCCACCCCTTAAATTCTCTCTGGCCTCTCAGGCTAACTCCCTATGGTGTCTCCTCTCATTACCTTGTCACAATCAAGACTTTACAAGGTGTTTCCTGGCTTCCTCAACACAAGCCCATCACCTCTCTGAGGGCCTGGAAGCCTGGGGCCTACCCACACAATGTCTCCTGTTCCTCCACTCTGACCAAATCACCCTCTGTCAAGGGCCTTCTCCATGCTCCAGGGACCTCTGCCTGCTGCTCTTCCCTGAGAACCCAGCCTCGCCTCTCTGGGCTCAGAGGTCCCCTCTTCCAGGAAGCCTTCCAGGGAAGACTGAGCTGGGGAAGGCCCTGCAGGCCATTGTCCTCACCCAGAATCCTATCTCTGGGCCAGTTTGGCAAGTGGTAGGTGGGTGGAGGCAAGCCTATGGCACCCTGGGTTAAGGTCTAGGTGCCCATGGGGCAGTCCTCCCGGGCATGTAGGAAGCCAGACTGGCACCCGAGGGCCCTATCTCAGAAGCAGTCCACAGACCCTGCCTCTGGGGCACCTGAGGACTGCTGGGCTGAGGCTAGGTCTCACAGACAGGTGTTCCAGGACGAAATGGGCAGGTGAGTGGAGAGGTCTGGGCTAGCACGGGGTAGGGCTAGACTTCACAGGCAGGTTTGTGAAGAGCTCCAACAGGTGTGCAGCTGCTAAGGCCAGGTGTTCCTCAAGTTGGCTGTGAAGTGCGGGGAGGTCAGAAGGAGGAGGTGGCCCAGAAGGGCGGGAGAGGTGAGCAGTGGGGAGGGATCATGGACAGGTGCAGCTACCACAGAATGTGTGGGAACAAGTGCGCCTGCGCCCAGTCTTCAGTCCCCCTGGCGTTGCTCACGGCCCGCTTCTCCCGCCCACTACCCCACCTCCGCGCCGTTCCTCCCAGTCCCATCCCCTGACCCTTACCCCTCACCCGCCCCCTGCTCCTCCAGCCCCTTCGCCTGCCTCCCGCTGCCACCTCCGGCCCCTACCCAACCTTTCCCCAGCACCAGCGCTCCCACCCCGAGTGTCTCCGGCTCCCGGCCGCCCGGCTTCCCCCAACCCTGCCCTTCCCCTCCCCTCCCCTCCCCTCCCCTCCCCTCCCCCCCCGCCCCGCCCCGCCCTGCCGGCGCTGGGCTCTGGCGGCGCGGGGACCCGCTGCCCTCTGGCGGAGACGCGGGGCGCGGCGGCTCCCGGGGATTCGGCGGCCCCGCCCCGCCACGTCTGAGTCGGCAGCCCGCGCAGGGTCCGACCCAGCCGAGGGCTCCTGAGCCCCGGGAGCCGGAGCCAGGAGCTGCGCGCGCTGCCACCTCCCGCGACGTGTCGTTACTGGGCCCGGAACAGGGAACCTGAGTGGCCTGTGCAAACCCTGCCCCTTTAAAAGTGAAACCTACTCCCTGGCCTGGCGCCGGGTCGCGATCCGACCCCATTGCTTTACTGAGTGGCTTGCGTGAGTTTCTGGCTCCCACCTGTCTGCGCAGGTAAGCCCCATAAATCTTAATTCGCTCCTCATGTGACCCTCATTCTACAGGGACGTGCGGGGCCCTGGCTCTGCGCCAGGCAAGTGGAGGGCCAAACCCCTGGGGGGGTGGCCTCTTAGCGGTTGTAGGGGCTGGTGAGGAAAGCGCAGAGGGCCAAAGAGCTTGGAGAGAATGAGAAGCATCAGGGATCAGATCATACCACTGTCCTCTGGAAAAAATGTGAAAGCTGCTCCAGACATGGGTCTTTGGCAGCAAAGGACAGTGGCCCAGGAGAGAAGGGAAATCAAGACGGCCTGCCCCTACCCTGCTCAACTAGCAGAGCCCAGATGGGTGGCAGGTGGAGAGCAAAAGGCCAACCCCCAGGGCCACTCAGGGGAGGGAGGCTCCTGAGGACAGCAGGAGCAGGAAGAAACACCTAGGCTGGGAGAGAAGCCCTTCAGGAGGAGGGAGGGCTGTGGTGCCAGAGGGCACCTGGGGACTCCAGACTCAAGAGTAGGGAGAAGGTCTTGCCTCACAGCAGGGAGAATCACCCTGGACCACAGAGTTTGTGCCTCCAAAGGAGGCTCGAACACAAGCTGGGGAGGGTCACACAGTTGCATATAACTCAGTCCAACCCCAGAAACACACACAGGATCCAGGAATCCAGAAAATATCCAGTACATGCTAAGTGCCCCGTAAAGACAATCAGACGTGGAGATAAGCAGGAAATCAACCCATATTAGGGGGAGCTCAAGCCAAATTGACCAGAGTTGACAGGCAGAGGATAGACCAGGTGAGCACATCACATGCATCCTGAGACTGCTTTCTGTTTGTAATGCTGCAGGAGAGACTCGAGGGGATGCAGAGACAGACAAGAGCGTGAAGCTTCAAAGTGAATTTCCACAAGTGGAAACGAAGTGCCTCTGATAAATAAGACAGATGGGACTGATGGCAGGCTGTGAAAGCCAGGCTCGCCACACCTGCCTGCGACAGAGCCCGTCCAGTGAGGCAGAAGCAGCTGGGGAGAGCGGGCATCGCCAGCGGCGGAACTCCCAGCACAGGCAGAACCAGGTCCCCACAGGAGAAGGTAGAGAGGTGGGGAAAGAAGAAATCCTCTGAAAAAAATGGCCAGAATTTTCCCAAAGGTGATGATTGAAAAACAAACCGACAACCAAGAAAGGCTGACCAGACCTGAGTGCAGAAGAAGTCAAGTAACATCAGTATCAGGATGCGGAGAACCAGCCCAGCGGAGAGCGCAAAAGCAGCTCTGAGGAGAGGTGCCTTTCGTGCAGACTGGCAAAAGATGCTCCTGCAAATAACCCGGGCAAGGAGACGCCTGCGTCTTCAGCACCCAGAAAAGAAACCTGCCAAGCCAGCGTGCCTGGCCAGCAAAGATGCCTTTTAAAAACAAAGGTGAAGCCAGGACTTTTTCAGACATCTGAAGCTGAAAGAATCCATCCCCAGCAGATCTGCAGCAAGGAAGGCTAAAGACGTCCTTCAGGAGAAGAAGGTAATGCCAGATGGCACCTGAATCTGCACGACTTGAGGAGGCCTGGAAACAGAGACTACACCAGTCCTGGAGAGCATGGCCTGATTGAGTCTCTGTAGAGACAGCTGTTTAACGCAAAAGTAACACGGGCATTGAGGGGCTTAAGCCACATGAAAACCTCCAACATAGACTAAAAGCAGAAAGAGGCTGGGAAGAGATAGAGAAGAAGTGCCTGTGAGGCTAGGAACACCACGACCCTCGACCACGGCACATGGGTATGCTGCAGGAGGCCAGGCGTGGGGGTGCAGGCCTGTGGTCCAGCTGCTCGGCAGGCTGAGGCAGGAGGGTGGGTTATCCAGGAATTGAGGCCAGCCACACAGTGAGACCCTATCTCAAAAACAAAAGCTGTTTTATACCCTAAAGCATTAAAATAACAAAGAATTTCAGCTAATGGGGCAAGAAAGGAAACAAAGTAATTAAAACATTAATCCAAAAGAAGGCAGGAAAAGAGGGAGAAAGAACCAATGAATAATCAGGATAAAAGACAGCAAGATGAGAAAACTGTTAGGCGCACATACATTCAGGGTGAACGTGAATATTCTAAACATTCAAATTAAAAGGTGGAGGTTGTCAGATTGGGTACAAAAGCAAGACACAGACAGATGCTGCCTAGAAAAAACACACTACAATACAAAATAGGTAAGATGAAAGTGGGTGGAAAGATATACCATGTTAACACCAGGCAGAAGAAATCGAGGGCAGCCAGAGCAGAGAGCATTTCCAGAGACGGTAGGCAAACACCACAGAAGAGAAACTGGTAGGACTGAGCAGAGTACTGGACAGTACCCTTGCAGTACCTGATCAGCAGGTGGACAGGATGGGGACATAGAAGAAACAAGCAACAGCTCAGCTCCTTGGCCTACTTGTGCCCACAGAACCCACCACCATTTTCTGGGCACAGCCTCAGTAT